TGAGCTGTGGGCACTAATATTTAGATATGCAGGCTCAAGTACAGGCCGGCGCAACAGTGCCGGCGCAATGCTAGCAGCTTTCAGCTCGATGAAAAGACTCATTGGGGTCAGCACTAATGGCAGAAGCGGAAGCATTCCGAGATGGCGTTTGGTTAATACCAGCGGGCACCAGGGAGCGCATCGTTGTGGAATCTGATTGCCTCGAGCTAGTTACGCCGTGGAAGAACAAAGGAAACTACGGTTCAGATCAAGGCGATTCATGATGACGTGGAGGAGATGATCTCCAACTTCACTTCTTTTCAGCTCCTCCGTACCAGCAGAGAGATGAATTTTGCAGCACACCTTTGTGCTCAACATGCTTCTTCTACCTTAGCTTCATTTGTTTGGTTTAATCCTCCTTGCTTCTTGCAACATTTTTTGCAATTTGATTGTAATAACGCTGTTTAATTAGTGAAGCGGAGTTAAAAAAAAGTATAGACCCTGCTGGAGATGCTCTTAGAAAGTATGACTTAGGTGTGTTTGACTTAACCAAGATCAAAGAAAAGGCATTCTAGCCCTTACCAATTCCAATCCATCCTAACTGTATGCTCTAAGATTTTTCTTGGATAATTACTTCTTGAATTTATAAATTTTGTGAAACATATATATATATCGTAGGCACAACTACTTTACTTGTTCGACAAATTTGCATTGATAGAGAGTGGCAAAACAATGGCATAATAATTTCAAAATAGAAGATAAGTCCGCGAACAAGTTTGTAAGTTGGAAAAAGGAAAGATGCACGCGTGTGTACCTTGGTGTCGGTGTTGGTACCGAAGAACGGCAGCATGCAATGCATTTTGTCCATTTGGCCCGGAGAAGGAAAGCTTTCCATGACTGCACTTATCATATAGTGTTTTCACAATTTCATCTCGTCTCAGCATGATGGCTAGGTACATATATTCTGATCGCTTATGCTAAAATTTGGCTTATACTGATGTTTATGCTGAAATGTTTTGAGAGGAAAACACCGTTCTATGGCTGAAAAATAGCTCCGCCACCTTAGTTCTGAGTCCTTCCCCATCAGCAGGTCGACTATGTCCATGTTCCCAATGCAGACAGCCTCATGCAAGGCTCACTACCGGATTCAGTAGCTTTGCCGAGTGCCAGGGGCACTCGGCGAAGCCACAAAAACACTCGGCAAACGACACTCGGTAAACTGGTTATCGACAAACGCTAGTTTGCTGAGTGTTTTTTGTCGGACACTCGGCAAAGACTTTGCCGAGTGCCAAAAATACACTCGGCAAATATTTTTTTCGAAAAAAAGCCATCACAAACATTTTTTTTCGAAAAATAAAAAAAAGCCACCACCGGCCAGTCTCCTCGGCGACACCCTTGCCCTGCGTCTCGCCTTCGCTCCCCGTCTTCACGGCCGCCGCCACGAGCCACCACCGCCCACCACCACCACGCCACCACCCGCCACGACGGGGAAGAGAGGGAGAGGAGGGCGTGGCCGCCGGATCCGGGGAAGAGAGGGAGAGGATGGGGCAGCCGGGCCGGATCCACCGCCGAGGAAGAGAGGGAGAGGAGGGGGCGGCTGCGCCGTATCTGCCGTCGGGTAAGAGAGGGAGAGGAGGGGGCGGCCGCGCCGGATCCGCCGCTGGGGAAGAGAGAGGAGGGAGAGGAGGGGGAGGGGCGTCGGCGGTGGGAAGAGGGAGGGGAGGGGGTGGCCGTGCCGGGGCCAGATCCGGCCTCCCCGTGTGCCACCGTCGCCGGATCCGCCCGCACCGGGGCCAGATCTGGTGGAGGCGGTGGAGGAGGGAGGGAGGTGCACCGCCGCGCAGGGAGAGGCAGGGGGAGCGCCGCCATGCCAAGAGAGGAAGGGGTGAGGGCTGGCCGCGCCGACGAGAAAGGAGGGGAGGGCGGGCCGCGCTGGCGCCGGAGAGGGAGGAGGGGAGGGCGGGGTCGTGCCGGGGCCGAGAGGGAGGAGGGGGCGGTGAGTGCGCATGCGCGGGGAGGGGGCGGCGCATACCCGTGTGCGGAGAAGGGGAGGAGGCGTGCGGACGCGGCATGGGGAGAAGGGGAGGGGGCCATGCGGTGAGACCTAGGGTGCGTCCACTGGGGGTTAAAAAAGATTTTTTTTGTTTGCCGAGTGTCCCAGATCTGGGCACTCCAAAAAAAATTTCCATTTTTTTTCTTCTTCTTCTTTCCCAGAAAAAATATTTTTTCCTTTGCCGAGTGTCCTAGATCTGGGCACTCGGCAAAGATTTTTTTTCATTTTTTTCTTCTCTTTCTTTCCAGAAAAAATATTTTTTCCTTTGCCGAGTGTAAAAAAAACACTCGGCAAACCCCATCTTTGCCGAGTGTTTTTTTACACTCGGCAATACTCCTCTTTACCGAGTGTTTTTATCGCAGCACTTGGCAAAGAACTTGTTTGCCGAGTGTCCGAGAGAATATACTCGGCAAACGTAAAAACACTCGGTAAATTTGATGTTTCCGGTGGTAGTGGCTGTCTCCTTTGCTTATTTTCTTTCCGCAGCAGTTCCTTCGTCCTGTCCCCTCCTTCAGCTAGAGCGAGATCAATGAGGCAAGCAACCATTTTGGATTCCCCCGCCCGTACAAACCCACGGCCCATAGAGTCTAGGGGTGCTGGACCCTTGTCGAGGGCAGAATCCACCACCCTCCTTGAATCTTCGAGCTTCCCTCCCCATGAATCATGGGCGAAATCCTCCCTATTACCTCCATCCATGAGCGCTCGTCGCCAGCATCCACGCAGATTCCAAGGGCTTTTGCTTCCTCATCGCCGGCTGCTGCTAGATTCGCCGGGGATTTGAGGGCTATACGCCGGCTGCTGTTCGATTCAGCGGTGATTTGGTACAGGGATTGGAATGGGAAAAGAGAGAAATGAAAGAGACGAGAGAGAAGAAATGGGGAACAGTCAAATATAGATTAGATGTCTTGGTGCGTTGAAGAGTTGAACGCCGACGAGCACGATCTGCACTCCCCTCCGAGTAAAATCGCCGGGATCGAACGGGCTGTGGAGAAATCGTCGGGATCGAAGGAGCTGTTGAGAAATCGCCGAGGGGAGTTAGAGAGAGAAATCCTAGACAGTGCGAACTGAGAAATGGAGACGAGGGGAACTGGAATGGCACGCGGCCTGTCTCTGGCTACTGGACCTGCCGTAGACGCGTCGGTGGGGTGAACCCTGTCCTTCCGATCGTCAACCAACGATGGATACAGCAGGCCGTGCCGAGCGATCGAAAGATGGCCAGTCGAAATAGAGTCTTTTACCTTTAAAAAAAACATTTGGTAAAATAGTTTTTAGAGAAGATAGTAGAAAGAAAGCTAGGAGAAACTAGTATTTTCAGCTTTATCTCAGTTTTTTTTCTGTAAGAGTAGAAAAACAGCTTTTAGTGAGAAGCTGTTTTATCTGGACATGTTTGATAGGAGAAGCTGAAAAACAACTTTGTGAACTGAGTGAAAAACCTTGCTAAGCAGACCCTTAAATATCAAATATCAATATGTTTAGATTAACTGGGGTACTAAATAATATTTTAGTTTATGGTTTGATTAATTAGACCAACAACTAATTTAGGTTTTAATAAGAATAGTTTTTATTCTTAACAAAAGCTACATCAATAACTTAGTGGTAAAAATATTTGTTTATCAGAGATTAGAGAAGGACAAGGGATTTAAAAACTCTATAATATTTTATGTATTATTTAATTTTTATGCTTATAAGAAAAACCGAAAGATAGTTGAGAAACAAAAATAACATCTAAAATAGTCATGGAACAGGTAGAAAAAAAAGGACGGGAGAAAATCACGAAAAGGAAAAAACAAAGAGAGAGAGAAAAAGTCACGCAAAGGTTAGGAAAGGAGAAATAAAAAACATAGAAAAATTCACGGGACGAAAAAAAAATAGAAAAAAAGCTGAACGGTTAGAAAAAGAAAAGAAAACGAAAAAGGGGCGTACTCCTTTTTGATATGGACTGTTTGTTTAAACTTGGACTGTTAGATTATGATAAAATTTAACGATGCATCTTTTTTCAATTAATATAATAGTGTCTTGTATTTGACGTGGATTCTCTATTTATTAATGACCTGATCTGATCATCAGCTGGATTGGATCGGGCAACCGGACGTTCCTCTTGCTGTCCCGTGCCCGTCGGCCCGCAGGTCGACCCCGCACTTCCTGACACCTCCCACTCGGAGCACTGCTATCATGTCGTCGTCTCCCCACCTCCACCTCCTCCTCCGGTTGTAGATGCTCGTCGATCGGCATTGATCGATGGAGGGAGGTGAGGCCGATTCCCATGACGTCTCCGTCTTCCGCAAGGGCGCTGGCACATAGATGCCTTGGGGAGCCGAGGCCGGCACCCCTCGCACGCCCTCCCTCGAGTCTGGCGGGCGGGATGTGGCAGCAGGTGGCCACGCCACGGCCGCTTTGCCTTGCGGGTGGCGCGAGAGAAGAGAGCGTCGGTCGCGCAATGGCTGGCTGCACCCTGACCGTGATCACCTGGGAGGAGGGAGCGGCCTTCGACGCGGCGGCGTTGCCCGTCGACGCTGAGTGAGGCCACAGGTGGCTTTTAGGCCTTCGGGGGTGTTGCCGGGCCAGGATTCCGTGGCGTGGGCTGTATATAATATCCCCTTTTCTGCAATGATCCTTATTATATAACTTCTTTCGCTTGGCTGATAAGCCATGGCTGAAAGTACTGCTGGCTGATTTATTGTGAGAGGAAAATCAGCATGTTCTTCTTGTCTAGTCTCAACTTGTTTCAGCTTATTCTCTCTCACAGAACACTATTGAATCAGCCGAAATCAGTCGTCCACATCTCCCCTACTGAACCAGCCGAACACCCCCTACTGTTTGTTCGCTGAAAAAGTACGGATTATAAATCAAGCGAACAGGGCGCAGCTCACTGATGACTGATCCCGAGTTATTGGTGAAGAGCAGCAAGGCCCACTGCTGGAAATTTGCGTAGCAGCTGTCTGTCAGTCTATTGTATCCTGATTAGTGATTACAGAATCCGGTTGGAGTAGAACATATTGAGCCTGCATAGCACCACAGTATTCTGGAATAAACTTTATTTTATAGTATGACGACTAGTGATTCCTCTCGGCTCTCGCTGTTAGTATGCATTTCCTCCATGTCATGTATGTATACTGTTCACTTTACAGGTTTGGAGCTCCAGTACTCTGGTTCAACTGTCCATGTGTGGGAGTAGCCACAACTCGGCCATTGGATCGCCGTGAGGAGCACAAAGCCCAATCATCTGGGATAGCAACAATGGCTCGGCGTGGCTATGTAAATTAGAAACTCAAATGCCTGCCTCGTTCAATCTTTGCACAGATAAAAAATATCATCTGATCGAGAATATGCAAAAGCATTTATTGACAAATACATAGTATGTAGTCACCGTTAACATTATTACGAGCATAATAACTCTCAAATAACAAACAATCAAAAGGGAAATTAAGCACAAGGGAAAATGCACATCCAATCCAATGATAGGGTGTGTAAGCAATCAGAATGCACATAGACGGCACACATTAATTATTCAGGTACAGGACCTCGTGTCGGGATTCTTTCTAAACTTTGGCTCGTTGTATCTTTTTTTCTGTCTTAATAAAATAACACGTAGCTCTCCTAGGTAGTTCAAGAAAAGAAATTATTCAGGTACAGAAAGCAGGCTGACAGCACCTTAAATTCAATCCAAATCTCCATAAGAATGAATGATACTGATTCATGCCATGTCTGCTGCTGTGACCACACACACACACACAGATATATGTATATATATATATATATGTATATATATATATATATATATATATGTATATGTATATATATATATGTATATATATATATGTATATGTATATGTATATATATATATGTATATATATATGTATATATATATATATATATATACGCTTCAACTTGAAGCCAATGGTGCCGGTGCCGGTGCCGGTGCCGGTGCCGGTGCTTCTACGCGGCCAAACTAAAGATGAATATTAAGGGCCAATAATGTAATAGCATAGCACCCATGATAGCAAGGGCTGAAACTACCAATGCCCGGATTAGCCCCTTCCTCGTACGCAAGGGTGGTAGTAGAAGAAGACGTACAGCAATGAACTCCACTTGATTATATAGCAGTATGGCAAAAGTGAGGAGACATGTGATAAGTGCAGTGCCAAGAGTCACCGGAGCTAGCACCACATACGCAGCAAGTGCAAAGGCCGCTACCAAGCATGTAACCGAAACGGATACGCAGTAGGAGGCCAAGAGTAAGTTCGTTCTTCGGCTCCAAAGGTTCAATAAAGGGTTTCCAGACTGCATGAGAGCAGTGGTAGCAACCGTGGACAAAACGAAGGCCCATGTGTTGGACAAGATGAATGCATCGAAAGCATACCTTCGAGCAAGTACTGGTGTACCTCCATTATTACTGTGATCATCAGCTATGTAACCTCCAGGCACAGCAAAAGTTGCTCCAAATGTCACGGTTGCTATTAGAACTGAGCCAATACACAGAGCTCCAGTCGACTCTTTCAGCACCTCTGTTTCTTTGCTTTCATCAAATGCTGCGTTTACTACTCCCAGAGTTATGTTATCTTCCAGCAAGTGATCCTGGCGATGGATACCCTTCACAGCACCGACATGTGTGAGTGTGAGGTGTATTTGTGCTTCAATACTCTGCAGAAGCAAAACAAAAAGAAGCTGAGCGGTACAAATCTTATCTCAGTTGTTCGATCGCCCATGCATGCTTCAGAATAATAAAATTAAAATGAGCTGATGGGATGACGGATTACTTGAATATTGTAGAATACTGTTTTGGGAAGATTATATTGAGCAATATCCAATGGAGTCTCCCCTCTGTTGTTCGGTAAATTCAAGTTTACTTGTGGGTTCCCCAATAGAGGACAAAACATGTGAATGCTCTTAGCCTTGACAGCAAGGTGAAGTGCAGTATTCCCATCATTGTCTACCATATTCATAATCCATGATAGTGATAGGTTTCTGCAGGCACCCCTGATTATGCTCACACTCTTTTTCTCAACAGCAACATGAAGAAATGTCCTTCCCTTAGCATCACGCAGACCGGCGCTACCAGGGCATTTTTTAATAAACATGTCAACGTTCCTGAAAGCACCTACAGAGGCAGCAACGTGAATGGGGAAAAATCCGGCATGGTCTGGTTGATACAGGGCATCTGGATTAGCTTCCAATAATTGCCGACAAATTCTTGATGGCCCAAATTGAATCATAAGCTTTATAGCTGCGGCAAAGTGAAGTGGCGTACTCCCATTTTCATCCCTTTGTGTGGCAAGGTCCTTATTTTGCGGGCAGAGGTGTGTTTCATTCCATTTTAACAACTCCGCAAGATCTGCAAAGACCATTATTTTATTATCAAACTAATCAAGGTGACAAAAAACAACTATACGAATAAAGGATTTATCTATTATATTAACACAACGGTATTAAAAAAGAGCCACCACTTTCGTCTAGAGAGCCTAAAAAATATGAGATTAATCAGAAAAAAGAATATGCATCGGATTTTATGATGATCTAACTGCCGAGAATAAATGGAATATCGAAAAAAGAAAAGAATATGCATCATTTGATTTTATGATCTAATGGCCAAGAATAAATTTTACAGTATCCATAAAATCCAAAGAAAATAAAAAAATATGCACCGAATGGATTATACAAAAAGAGTTTTCATGTCAAATACAGGGCCCCAAAATTAAAGAATATAGAGTATACATGTCAAATACAAGACCTAAAAATTACGAGATTCATCGGGCAATACTATCATTATATTTTATGATGATCTAGCAGCCAAAAATAAATAGAGTATCCATGTCAAATAGAATTAATAAATAACTTAGTTCAATTCATATCAATATGTCAAGAAAATATTATAATCTAGTCTAGATATAAATGAAGAAAATATACATAAAGGCAAATCAAAGGTTCTGTAGATGGCAACTCGACTACAAATAATTAGATGATAACAAGGAACAAATTTCAACAATAATGTCTTTTGTGGAAATTAGAATGAAAAATGGTACTAAGAATAGTGAAGAAACTCTTTAGCCTATATGCGCTCCTTGATAATATCGTTGAGGGTACCAAACAGCAAGTGGCGGCACTTAAGATCAACGAGCATCAATCATAAAGAACATGATTTCAAACGCATCTTCAGACAATATCGGGTGAACAACAAAAAGTAGGCAGGCAAATATATGCTTTGGACAATGAGGACTGATCTTATAAGCTTCTCTAGGTTCAATACTATTCGATGATGTCATCAAGTATCAAACACTTGTAATGGCCAAACGTTCAATGACAAAAATTAGTCGAGGTCGCGAACAATGAGAACAAGATTCTAACCAGCACTCCTTTTTATAAAGTAGGTCCTTAGCTCTGACTTAATCGTGCTCAAGCCCTTGTATTAAAACTTAGCGAGGTTCCATAGCTTGATGTTTGCAGAACCAACACACAGAAAAGGCATAAAGGCCCTTCCTTCTGTAAAGATTTCTCTCTAGGAATAATTTCTTCACAATTTTGTAAATTGTATGAACATTTCTAGTAGCACAACAACTTTTTGTACAAATATGCACAGATAGAGAATGGCAACGTGTCAAAATTAATAAAGGAGAAGCCAACGAACCAGGTTTGCAAGTTGGAAAAAAGGAAATATATGCATCTGTCATGTACCTCGGGTTCGGTATCGGAGAACGGCAGCATGCAATGCGTTCTGTCCATTTGGTCCGGAGAAGGAAAGCATTATTCCATGACTACTCTTATCATATAGTGTTTTCACAATTTCATCCCGTTTGAGCACAATGGCTAGGTACATAGGTGATGCGCTGCCATCTTCAGGAAAGCTGGCCAATTCTGAGTCCTTCATCATCAGCAGGACGACTATGTCCTTGTTCCCAACACGAACAGCCTCGTTCAAGGCTGTCTCCTTGTGCTTGTTTTCTTTCCGCAGAAATTCCTTCAGCCTATCCTCGCCTTCAGCGAGCTGAATGAGGCGAGCGACCATTTTGGATTTCCCGGCCCGTGCAGCACAGTGGAGAGGGGTGTCGCCCTTGTTGTTTTGCACAAAGAGGAGGTGCTTCTCTTTCTCGTAGATGATGCAAGCACTCTGCAAGAAATTATCACCGTCGCCATAGGTGGTCAATGCATGGCGTTTAGAGCGGGTTAGGAACCAACACCACCGGCGGGTAAAGAAGTCATCGACCTGACCACATGCGGCCACCACATGGAGTGCAGTGTCACCTTCTGCAGTGACCCCCTCCAAGATCGACTTATTTGCTTCTGTGTCATTATCAGAAGCTCGCCGAATTGGCAAGCTCCCGTGGTTGCCGCTGCAGCCAGAGGCTTGACCGTGTTCCCCGTTGAGAAGGGTTTGCAGTTCCTCAGGAGAGCCGGAGGATGCCAATGCTAGCAGGCGAGGATCCATATTCCCCTTGTGAGGATGAGGATAACCCGCCATCGCCACCACCATCATCGTCGAATCTTCTTCCTGCTTGTTGACCAGATCCTTCAGCTGCTGGACATCGCCACTGGCTGTGGCCACCGTCAGCTTGGCGTCCATGGTTGTCGTCGCTACCGGAGCATTTGCTTGCTGTCCAGCTGGCGAGGTAAGAGTTTCCTCTGCTCCACTGCTCGACGACATCTCCAGATCCAACTTGGAAGCAGGGATTTCTTTACCCATGGCCAAAAAGAAAAAAAACACAGAAATCAACGATAGATAAATAGAATTACCGGTTTTATTAAAAAAAGAGTTGTTGGTACAAAATTAGGACAAGAAGTGACTCGATTTCTCTGGAAAATTTACAGAAACTGTTCCCAAATAATCGTTTAACATAAAAAGGCTGGCACAAAACGATATCGATATTAGGCAATATATATGACACTTTCCTGGGTGGACAAGTAAAATTGGAATTTTTGGTGGTGAGAAGATTCTACCTGACCTCGCCGACAGAGGAGAATTATCAGGTTTTTATCGGGTTTGTATCGCCCGATAAATTCTTTCCCTAGCTATAGGAAGTAAGTAGTTTGTGGCTGCAAGTCTAGTGGGAGGGCTGGTTGCGAGCAAATTCCTATCAGGACATCCTCTCCTTTTATAGGAATAATATGCTGCATTGCCTCGATCGGCCTATCATCCAGAAATGGTGTGCCCACCATCCTATCAAGAGACAGACTACTGAATCGGTGAATCCTACTTGTATTACAAAAGTAGTAGTAAGACTTGAACAAATCGCACGTCCATGTGGGAGACAGCTCATCTAGTATTCGACAAAATATGTATTTTTTATGTAAGATTATTTGTAACATGTTGTAAAGATTGGAGCCTGTAACACTAATTTTAAATACTTTATTAATTACGTTTTTTGTAAATTTAAGCAGAATATTAACATTATTTTCAGTGTCCCTTAACTTTATAGGATCGATTATTATGTAGCATCGTTTGGCATGATATGAGATCAATTTTGAAGGGACAAGGGCTGAAGGATGGCTCCAACACCAATATGAATGGGATGGTATTTCCTTATCTCCATCTTTCTCAAGACCTATTTTTTGTCCTTATGTGTGAGCAATGTACCGACATGGCAAGCTTCGGTGATTCCATCACCCAGTAATTGGAGCTTGTCTCATCTTCATGGATTGGATGGGGTGAACGGGAAATCTGAGGCATCACAGATATGTTGCAGCTAATGAGCTAAAGTTCTGGCTATAGGTAAGGTGCATACTTTATATTAGTCTAAGGGGTGTTTGGTTCCACCTCCTAAACTGTCACATCGGATGTTTGGACACATGCATGGAGTATTAAATATAGACTATTTATGAAACTAAATGCACAGATTGAGACTATTTTGCGAGACAAATTTTTTAAGCCAAATTAGTTCATGATTTGACATTGTGGTGCTACAGAAACTTGTGCTAATGACGGATTAATTAGACTTAATAAATTTATCTCGCGGATTATTGATGGATTCTGTAATTTGTTTTTTATTAGTATCCGAACATCCTATGCGACATCCCTATGTGACACCTCCTAAAATTTAGTCACCGGATCCAAACACCCCCTAATTACGTTTTAGCATCGCACTAGGAAGAATAAGGATGGCTCCAACACCAAGATGAATGGGATGGTATTTCCTTATCTCCATCTTTCTCAAAACCTATTTTTTGTCCTTATGTGCGAGCAATGTACCGACATGGCAAGCTTTGGTAATTCCATCACCTAGTAATTGGAGCTTGTCTCATCTTCGGATGGATTGGATGGGGTGAACGGGAAATCCGAGGCATCAAAGATATGTTGCAGCTAATGAGCTAAAGTTCTGTCTAAAGGTAAGGTGCATACTTTAAATTAGTCTCATTACTTTTTAGCATCGCACAAGTAGGTAGAATAAGATATTTGTATCTTTGTTTGTTATGTATGATGCCTAGCTATCATCTCCATCTCCATTATCCAGGAGGGATTATAACTAATTATCCTTCATTACCCAAGCAACAAGAGAACTATCAAACACTTGGCACTCTTAACAAGGTAGTTATCCTGCAGCTTTGGAGCCACGATACCACCATCAATCTCCATGGCCACCACCCCAGAGGAATTCTTTATGGAAGGTCTCACGAACTTGTCACCACCCTCCCCATCTGTGTTGCTTGACCTTCCCCCAATGCCCAATGATGCTGGTCAGGATTCGCTCTGCCCTGATGAAATAGTCCTCTCCTATGTTTCATGCGTGCTCATGGAGGATCACACTGAAGACAAACTCTTGTGCCAAGACGCTGATCATCCTGCGCTTCTCCAGGTGCAGAAGGCATTTGCCCAAATTCTCTCCTCCCCTTCCTTCAGCACAAACAGTGACAACACTGTCAACAGGGACAATGTTGAGGGAGCCAGGAATTTGTTCCAGCATTGCAGTGGTGATCAATGCACACTTAGATCATCCTTGCCCATTGGTGCGCTTACAGCAGGGTCAGTCTTGAAGGGCATGGAAGAGTCGACCAGGTTCTTGCCAGAAGATAATGGCTTCAGAAAGGATCAGCAAGTGAACCAAATGACCAGGGAAAGTGGCAATTGTAGGGTATTCAAGAAGAGGTATAGCAGGGATGAGGATGGGGAGGTAGGCAGGGCCTATAAAGTTTTTATGATGATGGAAGAGCTTGAAGAGATGTTTGACAAAATGATGCTTCGTGGGTACGAGACATGCATAGAAGACATGAAGAAGCTGCGCATCACCAAGGCTGATGAGGCAAAGAACAACAAGAAGGGTTATAGCAAGAGGAGGAGTAATGTTGTGGATCTATACACATTGTTCATAAATTGTGCGCAGGCGGTGTCTGCTAGCAATTTCAGGACCGCGCATGAGCTGCTGAAGTAGATCAAGCAGCACACATTAGCAACAGGGGATGCAACACAATGGCTAGCTCAATGTTTTGCCAAGGGCTGGAGGCGCGGCTAATGGGAACAGGGAGCCAGCTTTGGCAGTTGCTGACATTGGAGCAACCACTGGCCGTAGAGTACCTAAAGGCCCACAACCTTTACATGGCAACTTGCTCCTTCAACAGGGTGCCACTCTTTTTCAACATTATGACCATTGAGCATGCCATGGTGGGGAAGAGCAAGCTTCACATTCTAGACTACAGTCCACATCACGGGTTCTAGTGGGCCGGCTTGCTCCGCTGGATGGCGAATAGGGAAGGTGGCCCACCAGAGGTGCGGATAACTGCCATAAGCCACCTTTAGTCTAGGTCCTGTCCATCTAAACTCTACCAGAGACGGCTTCTTTGCCGAGTGTCCCAGACTTTGCTGAGTGATTTTTATCGGGCGCTCGGCAAAGAGGGTATTTGCTGAGTGCCAGAGAGAAAGCACTCGGCAAACAACTGGCACTGGGCAAAGAGGTGGTTTGCCAAGTGCCGAGCACTCGGCAAACAATAACACTCGACAAAGACCAGGTTTGCCGAGTGTCGGACACCCGGCAAACCAGAACACTCGGCAAAGGGCAGTCGCCGTTAACCCTTTGCTGAGTGTCTTCTCCTGACACTCGGCAAAGTGGTGATTTGCCGAGTGTCATTTTTTTGACACTCGGCAAACCATATTTTTTTTCACTTTTGACCTCCAAACTTTTTCTGCAGTCCTCATACAATATCTGGTACTTCAAGTTCCAATGTGGCACATTTCTCGGACTTTTTCTATATTTCTTTAATTTATTTAATTTAATTGAATTTTCTTGGATAATTCAAATTATAACTGCTAGTCATTCGAATAATGAAAAAATGAATGGAAAAATGATATTCATGTTATTTCGTATAATGTGAGGTCGTATCCAGGAACAGACCACCAATTTCGAACATCTTGTTCACGAAACATGACCACGAACTTGCGGTCGAGTTGTTTTTAAATTCTATAAAAAGCAAACGAAGTCCAAAAATCATGAAACTTGTCAAGATGTCATGATATCATATGTGGAGGCTGTGATAAAAATTTGAGAAGGTTTTGTGCAAGTTGTCATGTACGATGCTTGCAAACTGAAGAATCTCCGAAGTTTTTTTGCTTGCAATTTGAGAAAGAGAGGAGGAGGAGGAGAGGAGGAGAGGAGGAAGGAGGAAGAAGGAGGAAGAGAAGGAGGAGGAGGAAGGAGGAAGGAGGAAGAAGGAGGAGGAGGAGGAGGAGGCGCCCCGACCGCCGTTGCCATGTCCCCGCCGCTTTCCCAGCCGTCGCCTTGTCCACCGGTGCCCTGGCCCCTTCACCACCGCCGCCCTACGACGCCCACTAGGTATGCCCTACCATCGTCGTCGTAGTATTACTAGTAGTTGCGGTAGTAGTAGTGGTAGAGTAGCATTGGTGGTAGTCGTAGGAGTCGTAGGAGTGGTTGTGACATTGTTATATATATGTGGTTGGATATAATCTTGTGCATGTCGGCCATCGTGCTGTTCATATATATGTGCATGTCGGCCATCGTGTCGTTGGTTTTCTTGCAGGTTTTGGAAACCTCACCGTGCAAGGGAGGTGCTGCCGAAATTTTGTATCGACAGTTTTATGTTTCTTTTTTTGCAGAGAAGAGCCTGTCGGAGCGGAGCCAGAGTACCTCGGCGACTCCGATCGCCTTCCTCGCTGTTGTGGGTCCGCCTGCACCGCGTTGCCTCGCCACTGCACCGACCCGCCACGGCCCCACTAGCCTGACTCCACCGCCACCCTAGGTATAACCCCTCTTTCCATATCATGGTCGTAGATCACGTACCCCAGTTAGGCGTCTCCCGTTCGAAAGAGATATGGTTGGAAATATGCAAATATTTCCATATCTAAAACCGTATCTGTTTCGAATTGTCCATGTTTTTTGGACAGCCCGTGGATGCGTAGGTGGGGTTAGTTTCCATGGTCTGCTCCGATCTGAGATAGAGTTTCGACATCATCTCCCTGTTGTTCTCTGGATACACACTCTCCCTGGCAGGACGTGTATTTGGAGAACAGCAGGGAGGTGCTGCCGAAATTCTATCTTGGATAGGAGTAGAGCATGGAAACTAACCTCATCTATGGATCCTCGCGTGGGATTAGGACCTATCCTCACCTATTAGATAGTTGGAATGTCGTGTAGATGTAATTGATTTTTATATTACTCGTCGTTATATATGTTAGAGGATGGAGGACCGTGAGTGGATGTACACGGGCCACGCAAGTTAGGGTCAGGTCACCAATGAATG